CCAGATACTGATATCAATACCAAGCTCTGTGGTTTTAGCGCACACTCTGGGCTTCCCCCCAAAACGTAGCTCTTGCCAACCTGCGCCTAATACTTTCTGGAATTAGGTAAACAGGATGTGTCCCTCCAGGGAGAGAGAGAGTGAGAGAGAGAGAGAGAGAGCGCATTCCATTCCAACAATCTATCTCTGGGATTTCCATGGATAGGTGGGATGCCTGGAATTCTCAGCTTGGTTTGTATTCTCTTAAGCAACGGTGATGGGTTTCCGCATGTGTCAGACACCAGTCTGACCAACAACAACAACAACAAGATTCCATTTATAGAGCGCCTTTCACGTCAGGAGGACGTCCCAAGGCGCTGCACAGTTGGGTCATGACCCGAGCAGGGGGGAAATGGTCAGGGTGAGGGGAGGGAAGGAGAGAGGAGGGGGGAAATGGTCAGGGTGAGGGGAGGGAAGGGAGGGAGCGAGGAGGAGGAAGAGAGTCGAGAGGGGAGCTGAAGCAGTTGAAGAGCAGTTGAAGACTTGTACGGATAGAAACATTCGTGGACTATTGCTGTGTTAGCTATTAACTCAAGGCGTAAAGAGTTCAAGAATTTGTCAAAATTGCCATGAAAATAGAGAGTAAATCAAGCCCCATGTAGAATGTTTCCCCATTGTTTTCTTCTCACAAATTGTACTTTGCCGAAAGTATTCGAAGGAAAATATAAAACTAAAACAAATTATTTGTTTTCCTGGTATACAGGGAGGTCACCCAAGGTCCTGAACTAAAGTTCACATTTTGTTAAAAAAAATCTTTTACAGAATGTACTGAGAATTAAAATACAAAATAGAATTAGTCCCGTCATCCACTCACTGCAAACATAAGCTTATTTAAATTAATTAAGTCTTTATCCTGGCTTGGTTGCCAGCAGCAATACTTTACAGACGGAATTAACAGATTTTTTTTAAAAAGCGCTAAGTGGAACATTTCTTAAAAGTTGATATTTTATTAAACAAAAAAAAACCAAGGGGAAATGGAGAATGGCTTTGCGTTTTTCAAGATTTGTTTTATTCTCACTATTGTCATGAAATATTTTTGCGTTCAGCCATGGCAAGATAAATAGCCGACTCATGTAATAAATTGGAAATGAAAGAGTAAAGTTAAGTAGCGTCTTATCACCACAGTTTATGCAAGTGTCAAAATAAGGCCTTGGAATTAATATGTATTTAACGTCCTCGCTGCTGATTTGCTGCTGCTGATAAATATATGGAATAAATCCCCCTAGAGCTCAATTTGTGGGCACTTCTTAATTATACCACCAGTGTTTAAAGCAGCAAAAAAACATGGCAACATACACCTCACCTCCCCAACCCCAGGAGAGGTTCACATGATGATAGAAAGCTGGCTAGCCCCGTAGAACACATCATCATTCCCACAGAGCAACAGTCAGTAACCAGCATTGTAGTCAGCACTAAAGGAGATATGTGCATCTATTGGTACAGCTTGCACCCTTGCAGTCAGGTTCCGCCACTGTTAAGCCCTCTGGGACACTACCCTGCGTGGAGGGCACTATATGAATGCAAGTTGTTGTTGTTGTTGTGCAGGTGGTGAGAAAGAAAGATGCAGTTCAATTTATTTTGCTGCTAAAACACACACTCATGGACCCACATTGACACACAATAATTGAAAACAAACAAAGTTGAAGGTGTTAAAGCTGATTCGAAATCGACAAACTGGTCCATGCATTTGGTCTTGATCTTACTTTTCAAAGGAAACCCTAAATATTTAGTAAAGCGGATAGTCGTCTGCAAAGTGCAACATTGGTAAAGGAGGGAAATCAGATACTGTAAACTTCCTCAAAATAAAGTCATTTCACAGAAGAAATAAAGCTAGCCAATGCAAGTTAACAAATGGTACAGCAACTAATAAACATGCAACATTTGATAGCCAACGCTCCAATTCAGCTATCAAATGTGATTCAGTTATTCATAAGAAGGTTCCTCCCACAACAACTTGTATTTATTTAGTGCCCCTCAAGCAGGGTAGTGTCCCAGAGCTATTAAAAGGTTCCTATTACTGAGTTGATCCCGAGATGAAATTCATGTGACGAGAGGGTGAATTATGAATTCAATTATAGACTGGGACAATGGGAAGAGTCTGACTGCCTGAACATTACTGTGGAAACCCACAATCAAATCAGATTTAGGGAGAAATATTCAATTGTTCTACATCAGAGCCATGGCTACAAAGTCAAGAAAGAGCAAGAGGAAATTATACAGAATCTAAAGGCAATGCTCTGACAAGAGGGTGCGTTTCAGAACTCATCTCTCTCTCTCCCTCCCCCACACTCTCTTCTCCCTCTCAATTTTTTCCCCTTCTAGTCACGCTTGACTACATTTCCCCAAGCACCACATTCAAATGGATCTTCTTCATATAGGTGGAGTGCCTGGTCAGTGAGTAGCAGCACATTATTTAACCTCATAATGTGCCGGCCTAATCCTGCCCTTGTCTGTCCTTCCGTCTCAATTAGTCCGTCACACTCGCACGCAAACACACACACACAGCAACACCCAAAGTAGGGGTCACTAGAACCCAATCCCCCCCATCACCACCCCTCCCAGTTTTGGCCAACAAAAGTTGAGAACAATAATATCATCAAGCATTTAGTCCCTGCTCTCAGCATAGGGTCCAACTAAGTAGACTGTGCCCACGGCAAGTCAATAACTCTATCCAAGGGATCCAGGCGGCATTTCCAACACTCTTGCATTTTTTCCCCGTTATCTGCAAACCCAAACACGTTTAGTGGATTGTAACCCCACCTGCTCATATTCTGTTATTATAAATAAATATCGCGGTTAATAATGCATGGTGTATTTTCAAGACTATTATGTTCTTATAGGAAATAGCATCTCGGGGATACAGTGTATAGTTTGGGACACGACATGTTATGCGACTACCAGGATGGTGGAAGGCGAACTGGATGGACCCCGGTCTTCTTTCGCAAGCAAATTCTTATGATCTTATGCTTGGAGCAAGTTGTGTGGTGGACAACAGTCGCTGATAAATAATAGCCAGTGTATCACACACACACACAGCACGAATGGACTTTAGTATGTGAATATTTCCAAAAGGAAGATTGACAGATTCATCTCCATTCACGTGGATGTCCATTAAAGCTTAATTAATGGCGCTTTACCATTCAACACCTTTCCTTCCAGCTCTAATCAGGCTTGTCACACTTTTGAAGCCGCAAGCACTTTCACTGGCATCATAATTAGGGTCAGAGTACTAAACGTGTTCCACACGGGGGCAGAGCTTAATGAAATATTCATAATGCCGGGCGTATTTTATGTCACGCATTTGCCTTGGGAAATGCTCAAATTAGTACTCTTTCTAATTCCAAGGCTTGCAATTGAATTAGAACACTTTGCAAAGCACTGCACCACCTGTCTATTTTTACACCCTTGAGCACTGCAGCAAAGTCCACTTCAAGGTAACGTAAAGCGCACAGAAGGCCAAGTTCGGTACATGTCAGTGAGGGAAGATTTGAGGCTTGACTCTTATAAAATCCACCCTGCAGTGGGCAAACACTCAATTGAAGAACCGTATCAATTCCTTTGTCACAAACAACGCCGGGAGCATTTAAACGATTACTCATATTGGGGGGCGGGGAGGGGAGGAAAGAGAGAGTAAAGTGGAGTACAGGCTGTTTTTCAATAAAAAGCAAAGGGATGTCCACGTGACTTTTCAGCAGTGCATACGCACTGCGATTGGTTAATGTTTCTTTAGACGCGGATTTACTTTAGTGCCAAGTAGGCCTTTGGGTCAATGACATTTACACAACGTCTTTCACGTCAGAAGGACGTCCCAAGGCGGTGGATAGTTAGGGACTTGGACTCAAACTGGGGGTTGGGATCAGGAGGGGTGGAGGGCAGGGAGGGTGGGGATAGGACCGCAGGCGGCGGTTGAACAGGAGGGTCTTGAGGCACGTCTTGAAGGAGGTAAGGGAGGGGGAAGGGGAAGCAACTGTGGGATGGAATTCCAAAGAATGGGGGGGCATTAGATTACATTACATTAGAATATACAGCACAGAAACAGGCCATTTGGCCCAACTGGTCTATGCCGGTGTTTATGCTCCACATGAGCCTCCTCCTGCCCTTCCTCAACTAAGCCTTCAAGCATCACCTTCTATTCCTTTCTCCCTCATGTACCTCTCCAGCTTTCCCTTAAATATATCTATGCTATTTGCCTCAACAACGCCTTGTGGTCGCATGTTTCACATTCCCACTACTCTTAACCGTTTATTTTAACCACAAGGTCCAACACAACTCAGGACTGACTGACAGCTGGCATGCTGGGCTCCATTCTGCCAGTTTTTCCGAAGCACGAGGTGGAAGCGCTTGAGTAACATCAGAGTGCTCCAGCTTGCAGTGTGGGGACTAAAACCACTCACCGAGGAACTGGACAGCAAGACAAATTCAAACCTGGGAGATTCTGGAACAAAAGAAGCCCTGCGGTACAGTACGACACCTATTATTTGGCCAAATTGCAAAGGTTTCCAAAAATAATTTGTTCTGCCTTTCAATTGTGCTTTCAGCTTTAGTATTGAAGGAAGACCAAAGTACACCACTGATTAAATGTACCTACGATGCAGAGAGCCAACTGGTCTGGCACCTGGAAGGCTGGGAAAACTGTTTAGTATGGAAATGCTAAGAGGATGTCTGGCATCTGATAATAACCTCTGCAAATTTACATTTAATCTGGCCATAGATTAGATTTGCAGATTAAAAACTGTATCAAGGTGGACCGGAGGAGGAATCCATTCGCAAATATCTGAGTTTTCATCTTGAGTGAAATCCAGATATTCCTGAACAATCAGCGGTAAAGTAAGACTTCTAAAAATGCTGAACAGAGCTTAAATACCACAACAAACATTCACACATGCGGGGGAGCGTCCAGTAGCCCTTAAATAAACGGTTAAGATATAGCGAATGGAAATGAAGAGAAGACTAGCGTCTTATTCTTTACAAAAAAGCATTTTATACACACCTCAACAATCGAAACCTTCAGTGGAAACACATCGGTGACCCCTCCACTGTCGGCCACACCCCCACCCCCCACCCACACACACACACAGTTTTTGGTGTTTTTTTTTAATTACAAAGCCTGTTAAAATAATCAGCTAAGTTGCTTAGAAAAATACTGGGTAGAAAATACTTTATTGCTAAACGCAACCGATTCAAATTAATTACCGTTATAGCTTTCGAATATTTTTTTGTCTGCAATGCAGCAGATACCATATTATTTCACCGCGCTCCCAACTAAATAGCCATGTAATATGACTATGGTGAATGGAATGGAAACTACCGGTTAAGATCCTTGGCTCTTCAATAATGGTAGACTTTGATCTGGTTGTTTTCGTCCAATCCGAGCTGAACCAAACCGTGCGAGGAAGGTACCTTGCTCGTTCTTGCGAAGAGAGGACTGAGAATGTCAGTGAAGGAAAAGCAGTAACACCGGGTAGGTTTATACGGACGCCCCCTCCACACCCCCACAAAAAAAATACTATCCTGTGTGGAGATGCAGACTCAAAACCCAACTAGCAATTCTTATTGTCCTTGCATTTGGTATAGCCCCTTAATATGTCGGAAGGACATCTCAAAGTGCTTCAACAACAATAAGTTGCATTTCCACAGAGCCTTTCACATCACAAAGCGACATTCCAATGCGCTGACAGTCAGGGGTTTGGACCCGAGCTGGGTGGGAGGGGTAGGAGGGCGACCCCAAAAGTGCGGTCGAAGAGGACGTTCTCAAGCCGGGCCTTGAAGGAGGCAAGGGAGGGAGCTTCACTGGATTTACTGTGAAATTGAGTGACTGTGTGTCTGCAGGCAAATGTTGAGGACTCGAGAGCACAATGATCACCAGCTTGTGGTGCTGAACCTCAAGGCCAGGTAACTGCCCCAACTCAGCCCCTGGGTAAATGGGCGATGGACAAATGCAAGTTGTTGGTATTCATCTCCTGCACAGCTCACAATTTCCAGCTGAAAGTAGCAATGAAAGGCTGGGAGAAGGGTAACTTTTTACTCACCCTGTTGTTAGTCAGTGTGGAGCTCAGGCAGACGAGGGAAGAGGGGGAAAAAAAATAACTTTAAAAAGAGGTTCGTTACTCCGTCTAAAAAAAACACACTTTGATCTGCCTGAGTTAAAGAAAAACTACTGATGGCGATATTCGCTCTTTAAACATCAGTGATCAAAACGCAACATATCAGAGAAGTAATATCTCTGTAACGATCAAAAGGCCAAAGTGTTGCCTTCAGAATAGAAATGGCGACAAAATGATTATTAGTTCCCAAAAGAAGTAATTATAAGGCAGGGGGTGAGGGGAAGGGGAATCGGATTCATTTCAAAATCTAAGAAAGTTCAACTTGTGAATGCTATTAAAGAATTTTACAAGGCAAAAAATGTGTTTGTTCATGAAAGAGATGAGAAGTGCTGTGTGAGGAGTTCTGCCCCATTGTTTCCACCTCTGTCTTAAATGTTTCTTTTCAATTTTCAGATTTGTAAAAAAATATATATAAAATAACACACAGCTGCTGTGTGCAATTGGCTGCCGCGTTTCGCCCACAAAATACACAGTCAATTCGCTTTACAGTACATTCTGCGAAGCGCTTGCACCTCGAATATGAAATAAGGCGTTTTATCAATTGCAAGGATTATTATTATTATTATTATTATCTTTTCCTGCACTTTCCATTCCCCAACCCTTCAATCCTCTGGACATGTTTACGCTGCTTTCGTGTCCTGTATTGAGGGTAGGGATTAGAACACTCGCCTCGCGAGCGAGAGAACCCACCTTACTAATAATAATAATAATTTGGTCACTCGATCCACGACAGTTGGTGGGATACTGCTTGTAAACAATTCCCTTTACAGTGTATTCTGTGAAGTGATTTGAGACGTCTCAACGTGGTGATAAGGCGCTGTATCAAATGCAAGGATTATTATTTTTACATTCCTCTGCGTCGTCCTGTTTTAGAAATCTCGGATTAGCTCAGGAACAAACACAGTCACATTGCTCTCTCCATATCGCGTGATACCAATAGCACTTATGGGTCTGCTACTGTGATAGATTTCACACCTCTTGCACTCAATTTCAAATGTGTCATGAATAAACAGGCAAAAAAAAAAACAACACAAACAAGACACTTTGTGTTCTTTTAAGTTTCCGAGAAAATTCGAGAAAAAAAATTATATCAATTTAAATTCTTAAAACAATCTGTGAAATGAACAGACTCAGAGATGGAAGCCTTACAAATGGCTCCTCCTTGGCAAACTGGCTTTTAGCTATCCCCCTCTCTCTTTCTTTCTCTCTCTCTCTCTATATATATATACATAACATACTAATATATCCAGCAGTTACCCCAACGTACACTCTGGGGTCCCCAAGCCTTGGCTCTTGCCAACCTGCACTTAAAACCTTCCGGAATTAAGTAAGCAGGATGTGTCCCTCCAGGGAGAGAGCGAGAGAGAGAGAGAGAGAGTGAGAGAGAGCGCATTTCATTCCAACAATCTATCGCTGGGATTTCCATCTGTAGGTGGGAAGCATGAAAATTTCAGTTTAGTTTGGATGGGTTTCTGCAGGTGTCAGACATCTGGTGTACCAAAATATAAAATCTATAAAGAAGAGGCTTTATGTGCTCCAGAGTTTGGAAAGGATACACTTTTGGGTCCTTCTTGAAATTTTCCAGCCACTTCTTATTAGCATCTATCATTCCCTGAACCGATCGGCTGTCTCCCTCTGTATGTCTGGAATGGGACTGGTGTAACAGCTTTATCTGGTCGCTGGAGGGGGGGGGAAGTATTAAAATGAAACAAAGTTCAACTGCAAAATACATAGTCAATTCACTTTACAGTATACTCCGTGAGGCACTTTGAGACATCTCAACGACGTGAAAAGGCCCTCTATCAAATGCAAGGAATATTAATAGCAGTAGTATTAAATAATCGCAAAGCAGTCCAGCAATAATTGCAATTTTTTATAATCTAAAAAAAATGTTGTTTGTTAAACAGAGATTTACTGTCAAATAGGTTTTTTTTGAATTGGAAGAAAAATCTGCTTCCCTTCAGTTAATGGGCAGAGAAAGGGTTACAAATATTAAGGTTAAGTCGGGTTTGCAAAGCAGACTGATCGTCAGAAGAGATTTCCCCCAAAATACAGTCAATTCACTTTACAGTTATATTACAATGAAGTGCTTTGAGACATCTCGAATCCGTGATGAGGCGCTATATAATTTGGTCACTCAATCCACACTGTTTGTTGGACACTGCTGTGCACAATTGGCTGTCACGCTTCGCCCACAAAATATACAATCGTTTCACCTCACAGTATATTCTGTGAAGCGCTTTGAGATGTCTCAATGACGTGATAAGGCGCTGTAAGGATTATTATCATTATATAACTATGTACAAAGACTGGGTAAAAAGTGAGGCGGATGCAGAGTGAAGCTTTACCTGCGCTGTCTTAACATTGAGGCCCTCACTCTCCCTGAGAACAGCAATCCTCCAATGTGACATTGCATTTATTTGTTAAAGGACTTTAAGACTTTGAGTGAGAGAGAATGCCAGTTGGTGCCAACTGTGGGCACTTTTGTCTGTTGGACCAACAGCCACAGGAAACCAGGTTGAGATTGCCCAAACCAGTTTCATTTTAGATTTACAGCCAACAGAGAAAGGAGAGCTTCATGTCTTCACCCACAAAACACACAATTCAAGTCTCTTTACACTATATTCTGTGAAGCGCTTTGGGAAGTCTCGAAGATGTGATAAGGCGCTATATCGAATGCAAGGATTATTATTATTCCTCAGAGCCATGTCTGACATATTTAGGTGACTGGGTGCTGCAGTGTGTTAAAAAACCTTATTATACTGTACTTGGGATTGGTATCGTGCTGATCCCTAGTGTTGAATCTGCAGAACTGGACTCACTGCCAAAATATTCTGATGATTCTGCATTCACTTGCAGTGCTTGGCTCTAAGTAGCCAAATTATGTTAGATCAGTGACGCTTATGTCAGAAACGTTGGGTATAGTCACCAACTTATCTTTTTCTTCCACGTTGTCTAATTGCATCATACGCCACACAAAGACAAACAACACAGCCTTGTGGACGTCTCATTTTTGACAACAGTGACGAACGAGACTGCTCTGATGGGGACTACTTCAAATTTAATGTCATATTTAAGTATTACACCCTCAAGTATTACAAGCAAACAATGCGTAATGAGAAGGTGATTTCTTTACTCCACACGCCTCGATGATGGCTACAGCAGAATACAGGCTGGCATCAATCAGGTTGGTTCCTTGTGTTCTATTTCTTTCGTGGCAAAAAAAACTCTGTGCCAACTGCGCTGTCACCGAATTGTCATCTCACTCGTATCAGAGAGGCAGAGAATGCGAGAAACACGAGGGAATTGCACAGGCAGTAAATGGCTTGGTGGTCCTTAAGCTCTCACCGAATTTATTTCTCTTTTTTAATTTAAAAAATGAGGCAGGTCTGATCTGATCCTACAAGCACTCTCAGACATTATAGAATCATAGAATCTTACAGTACATGAGGCCATTCGGCCTATCGTGCCTGTGCCAGCTCTTTGAAAGACATATCCAACTAGTCCCACTCCCCCGCTCTTACCCCATAGGCCTACACATTTTTCCTTTTCAATTATCTATCCAATTCCTTTTTGAAAGCTACAATCCAATCCGCTTCCACCACTTTTTGGGCAGTGCATTCCAGACCGTAACAACTCTCTGGGTGAAAACATTTCTCCTCATCTCCCCTCTGGTTCTTTGGCCATGTTATTTTAAATGCAGAGTACTTACATAAACGTGGGTTGTTGAATGGTTTTGCACAATTTACAAAGGGTCTCTGTTTTAGAAGAGAATGTAAAACTTTTCTTCAATTTGCATCGAGGCACAATGGAACAAGCTCAGATAGCGGAAACGCTTGCTTATAGCCTGGATTACATACATCTAAATTGCTTACGAGGGCAGCTGACTGAAAAAAAAAAGCGCGTCAGCCAGTTTGCGAGCACGGGAAATGAAAAACAATTTCGATTTGCATTCGTTTTGAAAATAGGCAAATCGGTCGGTGACAATGAGAGAATCCGTTCGGGTGTTTGCTGGAGCTGTGAGCCTATATAATATAGGAGGAGAAAGACCGCACGAGATGCCGCATATGCCATTGCACACTGCTCGCACTCCCAGCTCGTCCAAGGCTGCATATTATGGTGGGTCTGACAAATCTGCTGAACAGCAGCCTGCGAGCAGAAGAGCGTGTGTGCAAATTCTGTGATGTGCAAAATCCCTGTCCCCTAGAGGCAATCCTGCTCATCTGTGTTTCTATTAGCAACAGCGTCGGAAAACTGACATCCCCCCAGCCCACCCCCCCAACGACGACAAAACAAAAAAAGGCCTCATGTTTCAAAACCCAACTATGATTTCAGAGCAGTCTGTGATGTGGAGGTTTAGCAAGTAGGGACTCAGCGTAATTAACTCTGTGGATTAGCCGAAAGGCCACTTACTATTTTGATCGGTTATTGCCATCTATCGCTGCTGGCATAACACTGTGTGCCCGTCACCTCAGGTTTGAAGGGCTAAGGTATAATAATGCTCGCTCCAGACAAAGCAAGGAGGAGACCAATTTTTTTAATGTATTTTTTTTCTATTCAACGCTCTATTTTGTGAAGAGGATCATTACTGTGTAGGCTGGCCTCATTAGGTTTGTGGTACTGCAAGCACTTCTGTCCACAATCACAAGCCAAAGATGCAACGGTGGGGGGAGGAAACTGAAGACAATTATCCCCTTGACTCGTGAATAAAACAAGAGGAGCATCAGACACGAGGACTGAATGTAGCAGTCAAGTCCTCAGGTGCTTGGTGTGTGTATAGCGCCACATCTGCGTGTGCCTTTCCAGAAGTAACCGGGGCTTCCCCTGGGCTAAGCTGGCAAAGTCAGACTTGTCTGCAAAGACTGCACTGCATACAACTCATGGCTGACCAAATCTTTCTGGCTCATCAATAAGACTCGGAGGAGGAGGACAGCTCTTCAACCCTGAGAGCCAAAGCCCTAGTGGGTTAAGGTGGGCTAAGCCTGTCGTGTCCTGGGCTGTGATAGAGCATCCTCACGGCTCAGAGACTAAAATATTTTTAAAAGGTGAACAAAACCCCCCACCTTCCTCTCAATAAATTATCGCTTAGCTTTCTTTGAAGAAAATCCTCTAACCTAGTGCCTCTTTTTTTTCTTACAAAAAATTGTGACGGAAGCCATTTCAACAAGGATGGAATAAGATGAGAGTGTATGACAAGTGTTTGTTCGTAAGTCTCTGTCCAATATCTGGAGAAGTTTGCAGTATATAACCTTCTGGAGTGAAGCCGGGGGAAGTAGCAATGGCAAGCTGTGCGGTTTTAGCTGGTTAGACTCCAGGAGTTGCCTCAACACACACTCTGGGGACTCCCAAACCTTGGCTCTTGCCAACCTGCGCCTAATACTTTCTGGAAAAAGGTAAACAGGATGTGACCCTCCAGAGAGCGCATTCCATTCCAACAATCTATCTTTGGAATTTCATGTGTAGGTGGGAGACATGGAATTCTCAGTTTGGGAAGTCAGAGGTTTGCAGAGGAGGGAAATGAGAATGAGCTCCCAACGACACAAACATGCACCCTCACCTGGCAGAGATATATCCCAATCGGCTCTCCAGAGGTGCGGCATTTCCACTGAGTGACGGGATGCCTCCTGCATAAGTGAGGAAATAATCAGATTCAAATAAAAACCCAAATGAAACTACAGCATAAGTCCGATCTGTATAAATTGCACAATTGCCCAAGTTGCTCACCTGCCCCAACTACCCGTTGAAATTTCCTATTATTTATAAGTTTCACACAACTCATACTTTAAGTCATATTCAATGCATGGTCTCACTGATATGACTTATGTGAGGTTTACTGTATAACTAAAAGTTTGCTCTCAACTCTGAGGAGCAAACCTTCATCCCCTCCAGACCTCTCCAAATTATTTTATTTCTTCCTTCCAATCTCCAATACCACACACGTTGGACTCAAGTCACTCAGGCTTGCCACAGTAATTGCAACCCCACGGTATCAGAGATCTCCTTCTCAAAGTTAAGACCCCTACACTGCTTAGCTTCAAATATGGCAACCACAGAAAAATCATAGAATCCTGCAGCGCAGAAGGAGGCCATTTGGCCCATCGTGCCCGCGCTGGCTCTTTGAAAGAGCTACCAACCAGCCCCACTCCCCCATAGCCCTGCGAAAGGATATGTTTTCCTTTTCAAGTACCTATCCAATTCCCCTTTGAAAGCTACGATTGAATCTATCAATAAAATAAAATCCAGCAGCTCAAAGTCTCTTCTCTGACTCATGTCTGACAAAGAGGACTGCAGAAGCGTGGATCGAAAATGATATGAAAAATATGCATCACTGTCAGTCAGGGGGTTTGGGAGAGTTTGAGTGTATAATGCAACCTTAATTTTTTCCAAAGTAAAACAGTGTGAATCAAGGTTAAACTCTGACCTGGAAAGTACTTGTGCCACTTCTCGTTCAGTGCATCGTCCACACTCTGAGCTGCCGGGAGGGACAGCGAGGCGCTCGATCCCCTGCTGCTCCAGGCCCAGGGGGTGGGCAAGGGGGGGCCGCCGGGTGGGAGGAAGGGGCTCCTGCTCTGCACCCTCGCCAGGGAGGCGTACACGGACAAAGGCACCGAGTCTCTGGGAGGCGGGACGCTCTGAGCCTGAGCCTGCCCTGTGTCAAAGAGCAGCGAATGCTGTGTCCCTAGTGACCCCAGCATCCCCAGGACATTGTTGAGGTCGCTGGTGATCCTATGAAGCGACTCGCTGAGATACTGCACTTTAGCGTGTTGGTGAAGCGGCATTTCGGTCTTTTTCTCTGCTGCAAAAAAACATGACACACAAAGCGGTTCGTTCGGACTGAAATAACCCTCGCTGTTTTTAAATTAAAGAAAAAAAAACCCAGAAAGCAGAGTTCCTTTTTGAAAGGGATCTGAGAGAGAGAGAGAGAGAGAGAGAGAAAGAAAAAAGCCTCGACGCCAACAGAATTAGCTTGCTTTAAAGGTCAGGCAAGTTTCGAAATCATAACAAATTAAGACGGTGTAATTGGAAACAAAAAAGCTATTTTCACTTTCGTTGCATGATAATGGAGTTTCTTAATTGTCATTTGATCTGCAAATGGGACGACGTCAGCAATTTGTGTTCACCAGGAGCGAAATCCTGCCATAAACACTTCGCCTTTCCCACACACTTTAATATTAAGGAGTTAATCTGATGGGAACATAGGAACAGGAGTACGCCATTCAGCCCCTCGAGCCTGCTCCGTCATTCTTTTAGATCTGTACTTCAACTCCAATTACTAAACCAATTACCAACTACTTCAATGATACTAAACTAGTTGCTTTCTCTCCCTTCTCTTCTTCTGAAGGTGCTGATATTTCCACAGTCTGCCTTTCTCACCTTGCCACAAAGGCGCTCTGCTTGCTATAGCTGTGCTGGTTTGCCAAGTTATCCGAAACAAAGGACTTGCGTCATGATGTAGAGATAAGCACTATGTTTCGTGCCTCTGGTGGTTCCTCAACTAATGTGTTCAGGAGCTCTGTGCCTGCCAACCCCATCGAGATTCAAAGCTCAGTATCTGGGACTGTGGGTGCAAATCCTTCTCTTACCTACTCTGAGCTGCTGATTACAGCGACACCAACCAAACGTTGCCATTGCTAATCCTGGCCCCAATCCCCATTCAGTTTGAACACGGCATTATCAACTAGAATAGGCTCTTGGGCAAAATAGAAACATTAAAGGCCTTTCCTTACCGTCAACCTACTTTCTCACATAAGCACAGTGAAACGTGACACATAGGGATCAAAACTGGAAACACTGCAAGCCCAATAGTTGGCTCTACCAATGTCTATGCCTTAGGATGTGGCGGGTTGTCTAACTGTACCAATGATCACAGACTGGAGTTCCTAATCCTGGCTCAACTGGCAAGCATAAACTCTGTGCTCAATCTCTTCCCTTCTCCCGATATGTGGATCAATGCTGTTTGCTCAAGTACTTCCCAAAGACCAGAGGTACCAACAAACTTGACTCTCATTCTGTGCTGAGTTAGCTGATCCAGCGGGGTTTAGGCTCCAGGGTCTTTCCATGATCTTGGCTGAGATACTGGCAGGACTGCACCTCATTGAGGGTCAGCGTCTTCAGGAGAGAAAGGAGACAACTGGCAAAACAAGCCGAAAGAAAACATAACACCAAAACAAAGGGAAACGTATTGTGTATAAGCAGGGTGGTCCAACTGGTGGCCCGCTATGTTATGTTTCTGGAAGGGAAACATCAAATATATTGCTTTTGCAGCCTGCGGACATTTTTCGAATAGAGCAGCCAAAAGGCTGGACCACATATAGGCTGAGGAGTGTTAGCAAAGTACCAGATTTGTGATAAATTAGCGGAGCAAAGCATAGGAACACAATCGCAAGGATAGCTATCAATTCAAGGTGCCACATGGGCTCTTTTGTTTTTGAACACTCACTTTTCACCTGAGGTAGATCGATGCTGACGATGCTGCTGATGTCGTCAGAATCAGTAAGGTCAAACTTCACAGCTTTTTTGCCCCCTGAGCCCTTCAGTGTATCTTCATCTGAAAGCTAGAGGGTTAAAGGATTACAATCCCGGAGTCCTGTAGCATAAGTCTGTAGTGCCCTCGCCTCAACAATGAGAGGACCCGGATTCGAGTCCTGGCCAGAGCAAAACCTGAGGCAAGTTTATTTACTCCACACCCCTCTGTTTACCTAGCAGTAAGTAGGATCCAGTGGTTAGTTGACTGTTTGGATTATTACCGGGGGTAATAATTTCTTCAGAAAAAAACAATAATAAATTGGTCACTTCATTCCACTGCTGTTTGTCCTCTCAACGTACTCCCAACGTGAAAGGTGCTATACAAATGTAATCTTGTTGTTGTTGTTTGTGGGACGCTGCTGTGCGCAATTAATTGGCTGCCGCTTTTCACCCACAAAATGTACAGTCAATTCACTTTACAGTATATTCTGTGAAGTGCTTTAAGACGTCTCGAAGACGTGATGAGGCACTGTATCAAATGCAAGGATTATAATTATTATCAAACGAAAGGATTATTATATTACATTCAATCTTGCACACTTACACACACAACAATAACGGTCTCAAAGCTACTCACCATACAGCAAGCGACTTGCTGCGTACTGTACAATTTCAATCAGCAATGAGCCATTCACAGCACTCACCCCTTCAGCAAGCGAAGACTCCAGCTGGTTAAGCCTTTCCTCCTTCTTTCGGAGTAACACCTGTCCCTTCCTCATCGTCGACTTCATCTCATCCAGATGCTGGGTTTCCTGAAGGGAGGTCGGAAAGGATTATGAAAAGTGTTATAATAATAATAATGCCTGATCTATCTGGGAATTCCAATATTTACAGCAATACTATAATAATCCTTGTAACCTTATCACGTTGTTGCGACGTTTCAAAACAGTCCACAGGATAATACCGTAAAGTGGAACGACTGTTATTTTGTGGGAGAAACGTGGCAGCCAATTGGGTTCACAACAGCAATTAAACAACTGTTTAATCCCACAAACAGTCGGGGATTAAGTGAACCAAATTTTTTTTTGGAGGGATTATTCCCTCAGAAAGCGATCCGCCATTCAACTAACAACCAGGTTCCTATTTAGGGTAAAATAAGCAGAGGAGTGTGGAGTAAGGAAACTTGCTCAAGGTTTGCCTAAGGTAATGGGAAGTGAAGAAAGAGCCTCCTAATGTATATTGAAATACAATTTTCCTAGTATGGAAATTCACAAACAAATGCATATTACCCCCACCGGTCAACATTACATTTATTTAGCAGGACATTTCTACCATAATAATTGCTTTGGCAAACATCAGTTGACTTATTTTTTCAAACAGAATTTTTCTGGTATTTTCGCCCACAAAATACACAGTCACTACACTTTACACTGTATTCTGTGAAGCACTTTGAGATGCCTTAAGACCTGATAAGCACTATATCAAATGGCAGGATTATTATAATTTCTTTCCCCCAAAAGTATCTTCCTCTCGTGACCAGAGAGATAGACAGATAGAAAGAAAACACAGCTTTTTAAGGGTTATCTAGATTTTATAAAATATATAAAAAAACTCAAATCCCTTCACAGAAAATCCTCTCTAAGACAGAACCACTTCCAGCAGAGAAGCCTGGGGATTGCAAAGGAAATGAAACCGCTAAAAGGGATAACGCTCTTTCACCGGGATAGTTCCCGGCTGAATCCTGACCTGTTGTAGGTTTTCCCACACGTCCTGCAGGATCTGAGAGCTTTCTGGGTCCTGCACTTCTTGCTGTGCCTTCCTCATGTCATGTTTCCATTGCTGCTTGGCTGACTTGAGCGCCATCTGCCGTTTCCGAAGGGAACGGGTCTGCCGAGTGAGGAATTCCTTGGCTTTCTTGATGGACACCCCTTCGGCGGAGATATAATACCTGACACTTGGGAAGGAACGGAGGATTAAGCAGCGGACTTCGATTAACATAAAACACGGCACTCAGCACAGCACAGCTACATCACCAAGTAAATCATACAAAAACAAATCAACGTTCCGAAGTAAGCTGGAAAGTTATTAAAGGGATTTAAAGTAAAAACGCACATTATAAAATCTCCCCCAAGAAAGGGAACAGGTTGCACAGCGGGTAGAGCACGGTCAGACTGGGAAAGACGCCAGGTATACAATCCAGCCCAGACTGAAGACATGAAGCTCTCCTTTCTCTGTTGGCTGTAAATCTAAAATGAAACTGGTTTGGGCAATCTCAACCTGGTTTCCCGTGGCTGTTGGCCCAACAGACAAAAGTGCCCACAGTTGGCACCAACTGGCATTCTCTCTCACTCAAAGTCCTTTAACAATTAAATGCAATGTCACACTGGAGGATTGCTGTTCTCAGGGAGAGTGACGGCCTCAATGTTAAGACAGCGCAGGTAAAGCTTCACTCTGCATTCGCCTCACTTTTTCCCAGCCTTTGTACATAATTATAATAATGATAATAATCCTTACATTTGATACAGCGCCTTATCACGTCATTGAGACGTCTCAAAGCGCTTCACAGAATATACTGTGAAGTGAAACGACTGTATATTTTGTGGGCGAAACGTGACAGCCAATTGCGCACAGCAGCGTCCCACAAACAGCCGTGGATTGAGTGACCAAGTTATTTATTTATTTATTTTGAGGGGATTATTACCCCCTGAAAAGTGATTCGTCAATTGACTAACAACCGAGTTCCTACTTACTGTTGGATAAACAGAGGCATGTGTGTGTGAAGTAAGGAAACTTGTCTAAAGTTTTGCCCCGCCCGGGAATCGAACGCGGGTCCTCTCGCTTGTGAGGTGAGCGCTCTAACCACTGAGCTGCACAACTCCTTATGGACATTGTGCGCCAATAGTGGAAAACCTATTCCATTCTCCTCTAACACCAACTTCATTCACTATCCAATAAACTAAAGAGAAGACTGTTAAACATCAAGAGAGTGCAACGCTGGAACACATTACAAAGTAATACGACATTAAGCAGTTTGATTTGGTTCAAATATTCCATCAGCAGTTTATCATTTAAGTTATTCCCATGAAAGATGCTCCAACGTACAATGCCGTGTCAGGTTTCCACAATCACATTCAACAATACAATACAAAATTTAATTTGTATAGCGCCTTTCACGGTGGGAGGATGTCCCTAGGCCCTGGACAATTCATCCCATCAAGCCATCAAGTGGTTTATTTCCCCACATGAAATAGGCAAACAGTGCACCATGATAAGAGAAAAAGCATGTCTTGTATTCATTGTATATTCACCCACAAAATATATATTTTGTGAAGTGCTTTGAGACATCTCAATGACGTGATAAGGAGCTACATCAAATTATTCTTATTTTTATGTATTAAGCAGCACTTACTTGTCTATACTGATATCATCATCCTCAGCTCGGGGAACGGGGGAACTCAACAGTCTTGGGCTCTGGTGAGTTAAAAGCAAAGTGAATATGCACTTTTATAATGGTGGAGTCTGTAAATAACATGATCGAGAGAATCATGCCCCTCCGTGACCGGGTTCAAACCAAATTTAAAAATTATAGAATGTTTTACATGCAAGAAATAGCCACTTGCCCTGAACAAGATGGTGTACCAATATCCAATTATGTTTTTCCTCTCCTACTTTCCAGACAACATTAACAACTTGCATTTATATAGCACCCCTCACGCACGGTAGTGACCCAGAGCGCTTAAACCTTGTCCCTGAGGTGCTACAATTTCATGGCTATTCACCCTTTCATGTTAGCTTGCACAAAGCGTTGGGGGAAAGTGAAAGGAGCTTGATGGTCACTCAATCCTCTACTGTTTTGGGACGCTGCTGTGCGCAATTGGCTGCCGCATTTCGCCCATAAAATACATAGTCAATTCACTTTACAGTGTATGCTGTGAAGCACTTTGAGACGCCTCAATGAAATAAGGCTCTATATCAAATGCAAGGATAATTAATTACTTATATATATTTCAGCAAAACATTTAGGTCGGGCAACGCGTTTAACTTGCTTTGAACCTGGCTTACAGTTTTGGCGTCTGCTTTTAAATCTTCTATGTGAAGTTCATCCTCTTGCTCGGGGTCAGGATCGGAGGTGCCATTGATTGCGGACAGTCCACCCAGGCTCTCCTTCTTCTTCTTGATCGTCACTTCCAACTCTCTGCAATATAATTTTATTTGACAGAAATGTAAATCATTTCACTGCAGATTTATGCACTGGGAAATACTGTATACGGTTTAAGATAATCAGAACATTTGCATCATCTTATACTGATTCTTTGCAACAATACGTGGAACCTCCTTAGTATCCTAGAATCCTGCAGCACAGAAGGAAGCCCATCGTGCCAGTGGCGGCTCTTTGAAAGAGCCGACAACTAGTTGCACTCCCCTGCTCTTACCCCATAGCTGTGCAAATTATTTTCCTTTTGAAGCACCTATCTAATTCCCTTTTAAAATCTACTATTGAATCTGCTTCCACCCACCCTTTCAGGCAGTGCATTCCAGATCGTAACAACTCACTGGGGAAAAAAAATTCCCCTCTCCCCTCTGGTTCTTTTGACAATTACCTTAAATCTGTGTCCTCTGGTTACCAACCTACCCGGCAGAGGAAATAGTTTCTCCCTATCTACTCTATCAAAACCCCTCATAATTTTGAACACCTCTATTAAATCTCCCCTCAACCTTCTCTGCTCTAAGGAGAATAATCCCAGTCTTGGATCTTTGGATGACGATTGAAATTGAAATCACGATTCTTCTGAACTGAATGAAAGACTTCACTTTCTGAGCACAGTATGAATCATACAAAATACTACTTTTTAAAAAGGAACATTTTATTAATGGACAAAATATACGACAACAGAATAATCTGCTTGGGAGAAGTTAATATATTTTATGATGCTTTATAAACTGATTTGGAATGTCTGCTCTATAGGATCTCTGCTCCCAGTTTGCAATCCTTGAGTTAATTACTTGAGTTTAAAACTTTTGTTTAAAAATGTGGATTATTACCAAACACCTTGTGAATTTACAAGTCAATTATTGATATTGGAGAAGTGTTCATTCACTTCATAGTGTTGTTACTTCCAACAGATTCATGGGATTATTGTCGTATTGTTTCTAAATGCAGGTTGCTAAGGATGCATATATACATATGTACATTTACACATATCCTGGTCTGATTTGAATAGAACATATATCAAACATTACATTTTAACTCACCCACAAAACAGTCAATTCACTTTACAGTATATCCTGTGAAGTGCTTTGAGATGTTTCAACGTGAGAAGGCGCTATGTCTTATTATTATTTTAACTTTGGCTTTGGAACTCCATCCCCCAGTGCCTTCGCTGCTTCCTCCCTTTCCTCCTTCAAGGCTGGTCTCAACACCTTTCTCTTTGACCGAGCCTTCGGCTCCCCTCTCGACTCTCTACCCCCTCCTCGCTCTCTCCCTTCCCTCCTCTCACCCTGACCATTGCCCTGCTCGGTTCCTGACCCAACTGTACAGCGCCTTGGGACGTCCTCCTGACGTGAAAGGCGCTCTATGAATGGAATCTTGTTGTTGTTGTTGTTGTAACTCTACATTCACCCCCTTCCCCAGCTGAGATGGAGTTGTGGCAAAGTGGCAAAGTACCCGATTCTCTTTTGCAATCGCTGTCTTTCACTGTGTAGCAAGTCAACCTCAGTCTGCAGTTCCACCTGCTGTTCCTGCAGGTTCTCCAGGTTCCTTCGAGTCTGCCGGATTGAGTCTTGTAACGTGGAGTGTTCCCGCGTGGACTGCTCCACCTTCTGTTTGGTCAATTGTGAGACTAAGACTTCCTGCATCTGAGAACAAAACAATCTCGCCTGCTTAGAGTGCCGAAAATACATTGGGAAATGCCTGGCTTGGATGGGTAGCTAGTGTAATGGTCAATATACGACACATTTATGTGTTGTAAAGTTAGGTAAGTTTCCTTTCTCCACATGCCTCTGTTTACCTAGCAGTAAGTAGGAACCTGGTTGTTAGTCGATTGGTGGATCACTTTACAGGAGGTAATAAACCTTCCAAAAAGATAATAATTTGGTCACTCAATCCGCGACTGTGAGAGACACTGTTGTGCGCAATTGGCTGCTGCGTTTCACCCACAAAATACAGTCCATCCACCTTTACAGTACATTCTGTGAAGCGCTTTGAGACGTCTCACTGATGTGATAAGGCTCTATATTGAATGCAAGGATTATTACTATTATGATGAGTGTGAGGGATTCGTGTTTTGAAAAATATGCGAGGACTAAAAAAAATGAAACAAGTAATGCTTCCTCGGTATAAATGTTAGATCTGTACAAGAGCAGAATAACCTGGACACCAGATTTCATGGTAATGAGATGCAATCATGTGAGTGCTTACAGCTTTCTGTCGCTCCAGCTGTTCCTCCTCTTTATAGAACTGTTCAGCTCTCAGCTTTAACGATTCCTCCTGAAACAAAACGGGAACAACTGACAACGCTGGCGAATGGAAATAAAATACAAAACAACAAAACCCTGGAAACTGACAGCAGGTTATCCTCCTCCGTCCCATGTTTCGCCCACAAACTGCAGCCATTTCACTTTGCAGTATATTCTGTGAAGCGCTTTGAGACATCTCGATGACATAAGGTGCTGTATCAAATGCAAGGATTATTATTGTATGGAAGGGGGAGGAGGCGAGCTCTCTCATCCTAGTTTCAGTTCTGATCCAGGGTTATGTCTAAGCCTATTTTCCATGTACAGATGCCGATTGACGTGTTTTGTTTGGATTTCATATTCTTGAATTGCAGGAAAACAATTTTCAACTCAAAAGCCATTGTCACACTATCAACAACAACTTGCATTTATATAGCGTCCCCTCACACAGCGTAGGGTTCCAGAGCGCTTAATTATCAGTAAGACTCCGCTGTTCTGAGGTTATAACTTTATACTGCCTTACTCTTCATAACCTTTGCTAAAGAAGCTAAATTCGTCCTTCCAAATTTGCCATCGAGAACAGTAGAAACTGCTAATAATAATATAATTGTTTCCCGTTTAAGAACTTTCACAAATTATTTCAAGTATAGTGGCATCCTTTTTTGAAAGGCACACATTTATTTCAATCTTGAGCAAACTGGATGCGCACAGGGAGTTTCAAGGGGGTGACCAGCACTGTGGCACGCTACGCTGTGTGGGGCACTATATAAGTGCAAGTTGCTGGTGGTGGTTGTGGCTAGACATCAGGCCAGAGAAACACACAGAGGATTAACAATGCACACAACTCAAAGGTCAAAGCGAGTAAAGGTCTGTGACAGAACACTTCATAACTAATTTAAGGGGAAGCTAGATAAGTACCTGAGGGAGAAAGGAATAGAAGGTTACGCTGATAGGCTTAGTTGAGGAAGAGCAGAAGAAGCCTCATGTGGAGCATAGACCAGTTGGGCCAAATGGCCTGTTCCTGTCTGTATATTCTATGTAATTCTATGTAATCCTATCAGTCAATGGGATCCCTTGATGTTTCAAATGTAAATTTTGCCGCGATACATATTGAAAGATGACAAAGAACAAACACACAGATTTACAATTATATTCAGTAGCACTTTTCAATTCAGGATGGATAGATGTTCTCAGGCGCTGGACAGTTCAGGGTTTGCCTGACAAAGCAAAACAACAACACTGGGAAAGGAATTGGGTGAAAAATGGTACTTTAAATATATGGGCCCTATTTTTAACCGAAATGTTGTAGAAATCCAAGACATATGTTTAAGTGTTAAAACGCTGCCAAATGTAAAAAGCAGGGAGGATAGTCGAGTGCCTAAACCCTGCACAAAAATATATCGACCCAAGTTGCTAAGAACAAAAGTCTCAACTTTCTGAGTCCACTTGTGAGATGTATGAGGCTGTCACATTAATAATCACCTCCTCAAGGTGGAAATGGATTTTTTCTTTATTTTTTTTACATAAACCTACATGGAGCTGTGGCTCCATGAGTCAGAACCTGCCAAATTCGGATTGGTTTGGTTCTTGCACCCTGTAGATTTTCCTTCTCTTTTTCGCAGAAGCCCCCAACCCCCTTCCCCTCCTCCCTCTCTTCCCATGGTTCCGGGCTGCCTGCCTTACCTTGTTATCCAACAGATTGCTCTTTGCATTAAGCGCTTTGGTTCTCATCTCCAGCTGGTCATCGGACTCCTTGAGTGTCGTCTCCTGCGGATGTAGAAATAAAAGTGAGCAATGTTGGTGGCTTTGTGTAGAGAGAGAGAGAGAAAGAGAGGGAGCTGGAAATAGCCGATTTCAATTCAGTGTTACAGATTAAACGAGTATACGTTGGTGCTTACGTGCCTACCTTCTCACCGTACGCCTCTCGCATCTCCTCCAGCCGACGCTCGAGCGCTTGGCGAAGCTCCGTGATCTCGCGCTCGTGCAGACGTGTTAATCGTTCGTGCTCCTCTTGCAGCTGTTTCAGAAGCTTTCCTCTTTGTTGCCTTTCCTTAACAATGGGAATCAATGGTCAGTCCGCAGGGTTTTGAATTCAGATCATCTTTCTTAAAGGGCCACTTATTTAAGGTAGTCCACAAAGTCAATCCAACAACAACACAGCCCTTTTCACATCGGGTGGACGTCCCAGACAGTCAGGGATTTGGATCCGAGCTGGGGGTTGGGAATCAGGAGGGGTGGAGGGCAGGGAGGGTAGAGGTAGGAGGGTGAACAAAGGCAGGATCGAAGGAGGGTCTTGAGACGAGCCCTGAAGGAGGTAAGGAAAGGAGTGAGGTGAAGGGACTGTGGGATGGAGTTTCAGAGTGTGGGGGGCAGATAGGCTGAAGGGTCGACCGTTGATGGTGGGGTGGGCCGGGTGGGGGACATGGAGCATTCTGGAGATCACAATATATTCTGTGAAGCGCTTTGAAACGTCAACGACGTGACAAGGTGCTATATCAAATGCAAGGATTATTATTATCAATAACCTTTAAAAAGAAACAGAAGTAAAACCACTTTTGCTGAACCAGTGTTGCAAAAGGGCTTTCCTTCAGTGACTGAGCTTTGTGTAGCGAAGCACAGAACAGACTTAAACTAGACCAACGTTAATCGAAGAAAACTTAAAAAAAATACTGAAAAAGGAAAAATCTTTCATCTGGGTTTCTCACCTCCTCCTCGTACTCTTCTCTAATCCTAGACAAGACGTGTTGATGTTCTTCCCTCATCTTTTCCAGTTTCCGTTCGTGATCTTTCTCCACTTCCTCACGCTTTGCTTTCAGCAAGTCACTCAGCTACAACCATAAGTAAACGGTCAAACTGTACATTCAGTGAATGTAGATATCGCACAAGTGGACCTCAGCTCATAAGATAAGAGGACACAGATTTAAGATAATTGGCAAAAGAACCAGAGGGGAGATGAGGAGAAATTGATTTGCGCAGCGAGTTGTTATGGTCTGGAATGCACTGCCTGAAGCAGATCCAATAATAACTTTCAAAAGGGAATTGGATATTTACTTGGAAAGGAAAAAAATGGGTAAGAGCGGGGTAGTGGGGCGAGTTGGGTAGCTCTTTCAAAGAAAGAGCCAGCACAGGCATGTTGGGCAACTTGCCCTCCTTCTATGCTGTAAGATTCTATGATTCTATATATATGTGTGTGACACTCCAAAGCAGTACCTGGAGCAGCACTTGCTCAAGATGCTGCACTTCAGAGATATTAAGCCGAGGTCCCACTTGCCTCATTTAGTGGTTCAGGTGAGCGTTAAATACAACATGGTATCCATATATGTACACATAGGAGCATACATGAACATACATGTAGCTACTCAACATGTGCCTCTTGCAGTTCTATATCCTGGCAGTTATCGTGATATACTTAAGCGCTCTAGGAAGCTGCCCTGATTGAGAGGCGCTACATAAATGCCAGTTGTTGTTATACTTTTATATTAATGTTATACGTGTTATTTGTTCTAATTGCTTTTGTAGCTAGTGTTACAGTGAGTACCCAGAGCCCAGGTAAAGATGTGGTCAGCTACTTCATCCAGAGAATACATTGCATTTCTCACCTCTCGCTCATAGTCTACAACTTGTTGCATTTTCATCTGTGCTTTCTGCAGATCTGCCTGCAGTTCAGACTCTTTCTCATGTTGAGCGTCAGCAAGCTGCTTCTCCAGGCTGGAAAGTGCCTGCAGGGCGTGGAGGGAGAACAAGGAAATAAATCAGTTTGATCCAGCGAGTGCCCTTTTAAACCCCCTCGAGCAACGTCCATGAAGTTACATCTTCAAGTGAACTCCCGAGTTTTTCACTGATACATTTCTTCCTGCTAAACTATTCCCAAGAAACACACAAGAACACACAAATTGCTGGATGAAAGAAGACCAAGGTCCATCCAGTTCTACACATTTGCAACTTAACTATTAATTTAATCCCAGCATCAAACCAGGTTTGGATCCTCTCTCTCCAACTGAAGATTGGGAAGGAAGGCGGAGGGATAGAGGAAAAGTGTTCTAGAGTTGGAGAGAGAGAGATGATGGGATTAAATGAATAGTTAAAGTGGTAAATATATTGAACATGCCCCCTAGGGAGCAGAACAACAACAAAATCATCCTCAAAGAACTCTAAAAGATTTGTTAAAAATGACTTCCCTTTTGTAAATTTATTAGCTAGAGGTTATTAGCTGGAGTTAGATTAGAAGATCAGCCATGATTGAATGGCGTGGCAGGCTCGAAGGACCGAATGGCCTACTCCTGCTCCTACATGTTATGTTATAAAATGACATTTATAGAGCGCCGTTCACATCGGGAGGACGTCCCAAAGCACTGAACAATCAGATGTCGGGGCCCGAGCATGGGGGAGGGGTGGTATAGGGGTGAGGGAAGGCAGAGAGGTGGGAGGGAGACCAAAAGCACGATCGAAGAGAAGGGTCTTGAGACCGGCCTTGAAGGATGCGAGGGAGGAAGCGAGGTGAAGGGACCATGCGATGGAGTTCCAGAGTGTTGATTCTTTCAAAAGCAAATGAGATAGATTTCTTTTAGGAAATAATATCTGGGGATACAGTATATAATTTGGGGCATGACATGTCCATGTGCCATGATAGTGAAGACGAACTGGATGAACCTTGGTCTTCTTTTGTCTAGCAAATCTTATGTTAAGTGGATGCAGTATATCAAGCATTTGTTCCACAGAACATTAAGTCGACGGAGGCTTCATTCCACTGTTTGTGTTTGTTTCCATTATTAACTCACCTTCTGATGTTTTTCCTCAGCTGCAGTTTTCAATTCCTGAAGCTCAATTGAGTGTCTTTTCTGGAGCTGCTCAAGTGTCTGAAAGGATATAAAGCAAATGACCCGAAGAAGACTCCCACCCTTTATATCCATCTGTAACCAATGTCTTTGTTTAAGACACAATGCAATTTTTTTTCAAATAAGATGTACTGGTAATGAAAATACGCCAATATTGCAATTTAAACATGATAATAATAATAATCCTTGCATTTGATATAGTGCCTTATCACGTCATTAAGACGTCTCAAAGCGCTTCGCAGAATATACTGTGAAATGAACTGACTGTATATTTTGTTGGTGAATTGCAGCAGTTACTTGCACACAGCAGTGTCCCACAAACAGCGGATTGAGTGACCGATTTAGAATATTTTAGAAAATATTTTATAGCTTGAGGGATTGTTACCACCCAGAAAGCGATTCGCCAATCAACTATTTGGGTTCCTGCTTACTGCTAGGTAAACAGAGGTGTGTGCAGTAAGGAAACTTGCTGAACATTTCGTCCTGCCTGGGAACTGAACCCAGGTCCTCTCGCTTGTGAGTCAAGTACTCTAACCACTACGCTACAGTACTCCAGATTGTCTACCATTTTCTTGAGACACCGAGCAGAAGCAGCGAGTAATGGAATGGGAGAAGCAGGTCAGAAAGGGAGGGATGGAGGTGCCAGGGCTTCAAGGGATTTGCAGACAATGCACACTAAAAGTTACATTGTTCACATGAACGCTCAGGCCTAAAACTAAGGTGTCACATCAGGACAATCTCTTGATAGTCAGTTTCGCTATTTTCTAAACAATAACTTCAGGCAGGCAGTTAGTTCACTTCAGTACCAGAACTTTATAACAAGGCCTGAGATCTACCTCTTTGCTTTCTTTGTCTAGTGTTTCTCTCAGCTCACCGAGAGCTTTCTCCTTCTCCTCCAGCACAGCCTTCTTCTCCTTTAATGCCTTGTCCGTCTCCTTCTTCAACTTCTCCATGAAAGCATGATTTTTCTCCTCCAACCGTTTCTGTTCAGTAGCCTGTAGTGAGTCCAGCTCATCTCGCAGTTTCTGTAGTGTCGCCTCCTTTTCTTCCCTTGAAAAAAAAGTATCAAAGCAATATTCGCTGATATGCCAAACCGCATAAAAATCCATGCAGTTCAGATCCAAAACAGAGGGCCTTTCCCTGTTCATGTTTCCTTTGCAACTCCAGTTCCCTTCGCCTCATTCCCTCCTTTCCTTCTGCTAGATAAACAGGGGTGTAAGGAAATTTGCCTAAGGTTTCGCACTGCCTGGGAATCAAACCCAATGCTTGAGAGGCGAGTGCTCTAACCAATAAGCTACAGGACTCCACATGCTTGGACTCCACTATGGGAGGGACACTTTATGACTAGAAGCTAATGTCCTCTTGACATCCATAACTGTGGGGAGTTTGTCTGGCATTTTATACTCGGGGCCAGATGTGACGGGACTGTAGAAACTTGAATATTAACTAAAAAACAGCTACAAGTGGAACTCAGAAGAACCTCTGCATTTGATTATTCCTCACCTGATTTCCTTCTCTGTTGCTTCGGTTTCTCTCCGTACGCAAACCTTGAGTTTGAGCAGTCCGGTGCTGAATTCCTCTTTCAATCTCGCCTCCTCTGCCTCTCGCTCAGTCCTCAGCTTCTCTCTGAGTAACCTTTGAGATCAAGAATAACAGAAAATAGTATGAGTTTGGCCTTTACCCTAAAATTTACTTTAGAGTAAACCTCATGTACGTCGCATCAGTTGGGATCATACATTTAATATCATACATTTAATATGACTTATGCAAACTTATAAATGACAGGAAAATTCAATGGGACTTGGGCAGATGTACGATTTAAGCGATTATCTGATTTATATACAGATCTAACTTATGCAAGTTTTACTGTTTTTATAATCCTTGCATTTGATATAGCGCTGTATCATGTCGTTGAGAAGTCTCAAAGCGCTTCTCAGAATATATTGTAAAGTGGAGTGACTGTCTATTTTGCAGGCAAAATAAATAGATATGCAATCTCCAGAGATTTGGAGAAGATGAATTTTCTTCAATTCACTGAATTGAAGAAAAGGTCTTTTGTGTGACCATTATATAGGCCATTCACAGGCACCTGTACACTTCGAGCAGATACTCTTAGAAACACAATATCTCAGAACTCTGACGAAAGGTCATCGATGTGAAATGTTACCTCACTGTCCTCTTGCCATAGACCCGTCGAGAGTTCCCAGTGACTTCTGTTTTTATTTCAGATTTCCAGCAGCTGCAGTATAATTGCCTTTTGGTTGTAAGCCGGGTTTGCTATAAGCAGGGTTGGCTCTAGTGGGGTTCGTCTGTACCTGAGTTTGCTTTCTTTGTCCTGATAGAGTTGCTGAGCCTGCTCCTCTTCCTCCTGCCTCAGCTCATCTCGGAGTCCCCTCAGGCGCTCCGCCCTCTCCTGCAGTATCCGAGCCCGTTCCCGCTCCACCTCCCGGCTCACCTCACAGCCGAGCTCCTCTGCAAGTTTCTGGGATCTCGATTTCGGCTCCTCTCTCTCTTGCTCATCCTCCAGCTCCTGTTGAACGTGTCTGTTTATTTCAAGGTGAAGAGGGAAAATTAACCAGAATCAGAAGATTAGCAAACCCACTTTAACATGGAGTGGATTACTCGTGTCTCAAATCCTGCCCGTGTTTGTAGACAGAAACCTTGCAATTTCCGCTTTCCAATCCTAAATATTTCTCTTGATTCCGCACCATTGGGTAAAATAATCACATTTTTTCACCAATTAAAAATAATTGTTCTCCTTCTCCCACTTCTGGAGCAAAGATCTCTCAAAACTCGTGGACTCGTGGAGTCCTGTAGCTCAGTGGTTAGAGCACTCGCTTTGCAAGTGAGAGACCTGAGTTCAATTCCAGGCAGGTCAGGGCGAAACCTCGGGCAAGTTTCCTTACTCCACACAGAGCCTAATAATAATCCCTCCAAAACAAAAACAATAATAAATTGGTCATTTTCAATCTACGACTGTTTGTGGGACATTGCTGTGCGCAATTGGCTGCCGCGTTCGCCCACAAATATACAGTCAATTCACTTTACAGTCTATTCTGTGAAGCGCTTTGGGACGTCCTCCCGACGTGAAAAGCGCTATATCAAATGCAATTAAAAAAAAACATAAACATCTGCTCTCGCCCTACAGAATAATAACTCTACTGACTTCCTATTATTACCTTGAAGCAGTTTATTGTATGAGTCAGTCCATTGCCCTGGCCTCAACCACTCTGCCTACTAATCTGTTCTAACAATCGATTACCCGCTGTGTAACGAAATGCCACCTAGTGCCTGTTCTGAACTTGCTTTTGGTCCTTTAGAACAACCTTTGTGGCATATCTGGGTTTATTTTCTCTATTATACAACAATAATAATCCTTGCATTTGATATAGTACTTTATCACGTCATTGAGACGTCTCAAAGCGCTTCACAGGATATACTGTAAAGTGCCGTGACTGTGTATTTGTGGGCAAAAGGGGGCAGCCAATTGTGTACAGCAGCGTCCCACGAACAGTCGTGGTGGGAGTGACCAATTTTTTTATATACACGACCATAATAAATAATTAAAAATTGCTACTTTGTAAACGGATGTATAGAAAGGGTGGGTGCAATGCTCGCCTCTCCCCCCGTTATCTGTGCCATTTGGAAACAAACTGGTAGATTCACTACCAGCAGGACAATCGATGCCTGATTTATCTGCGAATTCCAATATTTACAGCAATACTAAATGAATGTCAGTGTCTTTAGCTTGAAAGCAATTTGATCTCACTTATAAATTCCTGGGAAATAGAGTTTTGTCGGGTTTTGCAAACCTCAGGACTTTACAACAAAATCCTTTCTTCTTACAATTTCCTAAATTGATCGGGAAGAGGTTATTCTCAGTAGAAGAGTATCAGCCTGCTAATAATACAACATTCTGGGAGCTGTTTGAATGTCATACAACACCTTAGGTTGAAATATCTCAAATCGATTCGAATGTACTTTTAAATTGTGGCAATTACTCTACAGGAAAACAAAGGACAAAGGATTTCCAACAGTGTCAGCCCAGAGTATGAGCTCCAATCCTTCATAAATAATTCTCAGTTAATTATAATAATAATCCTTGCATTTGATACAGCGTCTTATCACGCCGTTGAGACATCTCAAAAGCGCTGCACAGATTATACTTTAAAGTGGATCGACTGTGTATTTTGTGGGTGAAATGTGGCAGCCAATTACACACAGCAGTGTCCCACAAATAAGTTTGCTGACTGAGTGACAACATTATTTATGGTAGAATAAAAATAACATTCACACCCTATATCATAGCTGAGAAGCCAAATGGGTCGATTACAGAATACACAGTAACTACACTTTACATTGTGAAGTGCTTTGAGGCAATCTCTTATGGTGAAAGGCATGCCCTACATGAACTGCAATGATAAATATTATTATTATAAAGATCAAACGGATTGCATATATAGAACAAAAGTCATCAAAAAAGCTGTATGACCGAGGTGTAATTCCTTGACGCTGCCCCAGTGAAGGACTCTATATAAGTTGGTGGTGTTGTCGTTAACACCTCTATTGTTTATTACTTTAGTTTGGTATCGGTTTTAGCGAAAGCCCTCCCCCCCGACTGCTTATTTTCCATGTGATTACCTTTTAGCAGCTTTCAGCGTTTCTCTTCTTTCCTCCTCTTCTACATTCAGTTTTTCACCGTCTCTCTCTCCCTCAGGTCTGGAGACTTGCTTTAAAATCAAAAAGTCAGAATAAATCTCCATAAAGTCACCAAGTGAAACACAGCACAGCAAATGCTTGACCTGACAATGTCAGAGCAAGGAGGTGCTATGCAATTTGGGACACAGGACTAAACTCGCCTGCATCCCGCTGTAAAAGCTTAAATGGCTTTACAGTACATTTCACCCATAAAATATACAGTAAATTTACTTTACAGTATATACTGTGAAGCGCTTTGGGACGTCTCAATGATGGGATAAGGCGTTATATCAAATGCAAGGACTATTATTATTATAGCAATATATAGCAGTCTTGCCAAAACTCGATGAATCTCAAACTGGCCACATCTTAACGTAAGAGTAAATCTGGCTCAGTTTTACCATCAGATCAAGAAGTAGAAAAAGGATGTGAGGAGCTTTGGAAAGATTTCGAAGACAGATAATGGAGAGGGAAAAAGGATTGCATGGTAGGCCCAAGCCAAGAAAGACAGCAGAAAATGGAGACAATCTAGAAAAGTAGCACAAACAACTTTATAACTTTACATGGTTAAAACTAGCATTCAACCCCCTATATATACCCTTTATAGTATAAAATATATATTGGATAAATAATATAGAATTCCCCCACTGTTTGTGGGACACTGATGTGTGCAATTGGCTGCCACGTTTCGCCCACAAAATACCTAATCAACCCACTTTACCATATATTCTGTGAAGCATTTTGGGATGTCGCAACAACGTGATAAGGCTCTATATCAAAAGCAAGATTTTAACTATTATTATTAAACAGGCAACGTGGGAGCGTGTAAGAGTGGTGAGAGAGTAATCCAAAATGACGCTATTTAGAACAAGATGTTGGAACGATGTAATAAGATGCTATAACAAATGCATTTTTAAAAACAAATCAGTGACTGTGTGTCATAAGACTCTGGATGCAAGGCAGAGGAGCTGGTCCAAGGAGATTTAGAAATCTCTAAAATAGCCAGAGTCATGGGAATTTCTAACGACTAACACACGGAATCCAGAGTACATTACATTAAAATATGATTAAATTGGTTTGATAGATTGACTTCCCCTAAATAACTCTTCCAGAGATTTCTGCGTTCCTTATGATGGTATAAAAATCCTTGCATTTGATATACCATCTTATGCAAGGATTATTATTATTATTAATATTACCATCTTATCACGCCTTTGAGACATCTCAAAGCGCTCCGATCACACACTAGGTGGGGAAGGGTGTTGTTATAGACTGATCTAATGCTTATGTCGATATTACAGATGTGCATTGGATCATATACATTATCCACTCCCGAAACAACCAGTCAAAAAGGATATGAAAAAGGTCAGAAATATTCACCTCAGATATCGGTTGGAGGTCCAATACAGATGATAGTGTCTCCACATCCAGCAGTTTCTCTCTCATTCGGCTGAAGATCTCGCAATCCTTTTAGTAGAGAAATAAGGAGAATACATTAGTCCTCTGAACTGATCATTTATTTTATTAATAATAATCCAACCCCCAGTGCTGCATTGGAGTGCCAGCTTAAGACTACGTGATTCCAAGTTCCGACAACCCACAACCTTCTGACTCAGAGGCAAGCGTGTTACCACTGAGCCAGGCTGACGTGCATTAATGAAGACACCAGCAGCAGACACCAGTGAACTCTCCGCTCAACAAGATACATATATATATGTGCAACGTAACATAAGGCATAGGTCACTGGTATGCACTATGGCACAATTATGTTTCTTAAGAGGCCTTATCACTCTATTGGCTTCTCAGGTCACAGTTCAGCTCATGAATTAAGAGACAATGCCCTTAGTATATTGATGACCATGAACTAGTTACGCTTGCCTCATAGAAAGGCACCTACACGTGACTTGCTAGTCTCTCTCTTGGCCTTGCATCACTCAGAGACATTACCTATGTGGAGAGCGCTATATAAATGCAAGTTGCTGCTGTTGTTGAAAGCAAGAAGCAAAGTGCAACTCAACAACAACTTGTATTTACACAGCGCCCTTAATGAGGGGGGGGAGTGGGAGGGCAGTGTCTCAGGATGCTTAACAGTGGCGGAGCCTGACGCCGAGCCGGGGGGAAGGGAGGAGATGACCGTAAACCCCGTTGAAAAGGAAGGTCTTCAGTCGTGATCTAAAACTTGTCATATATGACAATGCAACTTGTGTCCGAGATTCCAGAGAGTTGCTGGTCCTATGATATTTATCTTATACAACAATAAGAAGTTGCATTTATATAGCGCCCTTCACACGGGGTAGCAACCCGGAACACTTGAAGAGAACGACAGTGCCATCAGGAGGAGGAGAAAAACTGGGGTGGGGGGAAATTAAACTAAAAATACCTTTCATGTAACTGATTTATGGCAGGCAGGCAGGTGGCATTTGTGACAACGTTAAGAAATCAGGGGCTCGAAAAGGTTATGCATTGCAGAGCTTCAATTGAAAGGGATAAAGGAATAACTACACAGCCATCTAGCAAGTCTGGCTGCAGTACAACACAAGGTGCATTGAAACAGTCTCACCGTGACCTGTTTTAGCAGTGAGTGACTACCTCCTGTTTGCTAACTGTGGTGAAGGAAAAATGTAATCTAAGCAAGCTGGGGCATGCTGTTTGGGAATTGCTTGTTAACGTAGCGTTCGGTGGTTTCTATAATAACGTGCGGTTACCAGTCTGAACAAGCCCTTCTCTAACAATGTGAAGTCGTTCTTCATAGATCAGTGCAATGTTTGAACAGGGAAAGAAAACAAAAATTCAAAAGGACTGGAAAGAGCCCTAAAACAGTTTACATTATATTAAGCTTTATTTGTTAAAAAATAACTGCCAATGGTGCTGAAAGACACACACACACACACTTGGCTCATTGAGTAAACACACCACTTGGTGCGAGATTGAGCCACACAGACTGGAGATGGAGCCAAACTCAATCCATATTCTTTGCTGATACCAGCCAACACAGCAATGGGGTATTTTAATTGGTCTCTGGGTTGGAAGGAAAAACTAGACTGAATGCAGTTTGGGGGTCACAGTCCTGATAATAATAAGAATAATCCTTGCATTTGATATAGCGCCTTATTGGGTTGTTCAGAAGTCTCAAAGTGCTTCACAGGATTTACTGTAAAGTGAATTGACTGTATTCACTTTACAGTATATGTAAATAAAACACAGCAGCCAATTGCATCCAGCAGTGACCAAATTATTATTATTATGGGATTATTATTTATCCCTTAAAAAGGATCTGCCAATCAACTAACAACCGAGTTCCTACTTACTGCTAGATATTGTTCAAGAGGCGCGTGAAGTAAAGAAACTTGCCTAAGTTTTCGCCCCGCGCGGGAATCGAACCTGGATCCTCTCACTCGCAAGGTGAGCACTTTAACCAAGATGCTACAGGACTCGAAAGGATCAAGATCACAGGATGTGGAGTGCAGACACTGAGTGAGGGCAGGGTCAGACACAGTTATGCAGCCCCAACACTTGAGGTACTGGCAAAGTACTGGCTCTTAAGATCCTACATTCAGTGTAAGGCAGTACTTTCGGGGAGGGTGAGTAACAGGAGAAAATTGGAAGGGGATATAAAATGAATGTGCTGGATGTGAATACATTTTGTGTGTCACTGAGATCATTAACACAACCCGAGTATATTTAAAAACTAGAATCTTCCCCTAAGGGTGTCTGTTCCGACTACAAATGAAACTGCGGAGCTGTAAATCATTTTTTAATCAGCGGTTAAGTGTGGACTGTAAATACAAGAACTTAATCTGAAAGAACTGCAAAGAAACAGTATCCGTCTGTTCCTCCCCTCCCTCCACCACTGCAGTATTTGAAAAGGGCAAAAATGTCAGTCGTTTCATTTTGATTTGGCTTCACAGAATCATGGAATTATACAGCACAGGAGGAGGCCATTTGGCCCATCGTGTCTGTGTTGGCTCTTTGAAAAGAGCTTCCAATTCAATCCCACTCCCCCGCTCTCTCCCAATAGCCCTGATCAATCCCACTCCCCCGCCCTCTCCCTATAGCCCTGCAAACTTGTCCTCCCAAAATAATTATTTGTCACTTAAAAGTTGTTTTCAAATGGGCTTCCACCGCTCTTTCAGGCTTCCCGTGCCTTCNAAAAAAAGATTGAACTTCTGTCATGTTGTTTGCAATTGAAGCTCTGGTCGTAGGATCCAAAAAACATACACAAACTGAGGAACAGACACGACTACGAAGTAGGAATGGTTGCAAGTTGCATGTGAATTTGATTTCAAGATCCTCACATCTGCCTTCAAAACCCTTCATGCCCTGAAACCTCCCTACCTCTCCGACCTGCTTACTCTAATCCCACTACCCGTTGCCACACCCTGGAACACTCTTCCTCTATCCCCCCACCTTGCCCCCTTTCTTCCTCATCTTCAGGTCAAGCTTGAAGACCTTCCTCTTTGACCATTCCAACAGTCACCTCCTCTCTCCATCCGGATTGGCAACGTGCTCAACCACTGTCAAGCCCTCTGGGACGCTACCCTGCGTGAGGGGCCCTATATAAAAGCAAGTTATTGTTGATGAATGTCCCCAGCACAATAACCGTTAAAACTTTATCAATCGCTTCAATCGAAAGTAGTTTTCTTCAGACTGGCTAATGATATTGTTCAACAGGGCGTATAAGATTTCAATTTTAATAGAAAAATACATAAACCACAAACGAAACTGCGAGTGATCCAATTTATGGGTGCAACCAGCACAGTACAGCACAAGTCCATTAACGGCAATGCCCTTTTGTAAAGCAAAACAGTTTCCAATTTTTCCTATTAAGTAAACAGTTTACGACTGTACAGAAGTGACAGACTCCTCGGCAAATGTTGAAATATGAACAATCGCAGCATTAGGATCCTCATTAACTTGCTTGTACTCTCTCCCCAATGTGATATTCTATTTATTCCACTGGTGTGGCTCAAGATGGAGATTAAATTGCTTTTTGTTGAACGGAAATGTTTAATTATGGTTTTAAAATTACCCTGCCATGAATCATCACATCAGCGATGGTGAAACAACCGTGCACTGCCTGAAAGGGCGGTGGAAGCAGATTCGATAGTAGCTTTCAAAGGAGAATTGGATAGGTACTTAAAAAGGAAAGATTTTCAGGGCTATGGGGTAAGAGTGGGGAAATGGGACTTGTTGGTAGTTCTTTCAAAGAGCCGGCATAAACATGATGGCAGCATGTGACTGCGGATTCTATGACTGTGGAACACAGCTCAGCATTTTCAGGCGCTCTAACACTCACCAAGGCAAGGAAGAGAGAGCTGGGGAAGCAGAAGAGATTTTTTTTTGCCTAACTTGTCTCGGGCTTTTGGTGCGCGGAAAAAACAATTTTAAAACCATGAAATCCTGCAAAGTTCCTGGTTTCAAATGTCTCCTTTCGAACCTTCATGAGGCCACTACATGTTGCACCAGGGCACATCAGCTGGTTCTGTGTAACTAATAATAGCTATCAACATGCTGACTTATACAGTCCTTTCATTTGATATAGCGCCTTAACGAGTCTTCGAGACGTCTCAAAGGGCTTCACAGAATATACTTAAAGTGATTTGACTGTATATTTTGTGGGCGAAACGTGGCAGCCAGTTGCACACAGTAGTGTTCCACAAACAGTGGTGGATTGAGTGACCAAATTGTTATTTTTTTAAGGGATTATTACCCCTGAAAAGTGATCCGCCAATCGACTAACAATCAGGTTCCGACTTACTGCTAGGTAAACAGAGGCGTGTGGAATAAGGAAACTTGCCTAAGGTTTCGTCCCGCCAGGGAATCAAACCTGGATTCTCTCGCTTGTTAGGCGAGCGCACTAATCAATAGGTTATAAGACTCGAGGCAAGATCTGTATTCTGGAACATTTGAGAGAGCAAATTTTAACTTCCCGATCTCCAAAACTGGAATACTTCACATTTGTGCAGCTAAACAGACATAAAAGTGAACCCTAAAAGGGAAGGAATCTGAGTTTTCCGATGTAACAATCAGGACCAGGTGCACAAAGCTACCACGAGAAGGGATACACCAGAATAAAGAAGAATCCATTTATTTCAAAACCAGTGATAGTATCAAGCACTTCAGGTGTCATGTGTCATGTAGATAAGCTTTACTTAGTCTGATACAGGGCATCTTTTTTCCCATGTTCTCCCCTCTTCCTGTCCCATCCCCAAAACAGAAACAAAGATCCACTTACATTAAATAAGCTTTTCCGTTTATGTGTTGCCAATTCTGGTACACATCAAGGCATCAAAAACTAGACACCGCTCAAACATATTGTGCTATAAATTACAGCAGCATTTTGTTAATCAATATATCTATCCTACCCATAATAATCACAACATATTGCATTTACGCAGCGCCTTTCACGTCAGGAGGATACCCCAAGACGCTACATGGTCAGGGATTTGGACCCGAGCTGGTGGTTG